ATAGAACTCAAATGTTTTATCAGTAAAATAAAACAAAAATGCTTGATCTCAAGATGAATTCAAAGACCAATTTTAGATGCACACACAATTGGCAACGGCGCCAAATTGAAACAAGTTCTTTTTCAGATCCTTGTGGGTGGAATTCCCCAAAATCGTTGTAGTATAGAGGTAAGTATTCCCGCCTGTCACGCGGGTGATCCGGGTTTGTTCCCCGGAAACGGTGCCAAATTGAAACAAGTTTTTATCTCAGATCCTAGTGGGTTCAATTCCCCCAATGTCTTTGCAGTTTTGAGGGTCAATCCAATGTGTGAGGTCTAGATACCAGTTTATGTGAATGCAGTCTTAATCCAAGCAAACAAAATGAGTTGGTTTTGTAACAAGTGATGAAATGAAACTAAGCAAGATTAGCAAGATTAGCAAGATGATAAAACAGCAAATGATTAAGATGATATGAATATGATAAAACATGGAGTTCTAGACATGATAGTTGGCTAGGGTGCATCAGGGTTTAACTAAAGAGCTAATGACAATGATGATGAATGATCTAATCAGCTCAGGATTCCAAACAAGTCTTAATCTTTTCCAAGCACTAAAACACTAAACCAAACATTGCTCATACCTAATCATCATTAGAGACACAATGAAACAAATGCATTATAAATCAACCCCAATATACTATCTATGCTCAAAACAACATTCTCATGTGAATCAAACAATAGACTCTTGACTTAGTTGGTTCAGGCATTTTCAAACACCTTTGTGGGTGGATAAAATGCCAAAGATCTGGATTAGAGAGATCATCTAAAACTCAGCATTAAGATCATCTTAAGCAAGAACAAGATGCATAAATATATCCCTAAGCAACCTTAATCAAAACTATATGCACCATAACCTACATATCTAGAACCCTAATGAGGTGACTACTCACTAATCATGATTAACTCTCTGATTCCTTTGCAAGAAGAGTAGTTAAGCATGATAAGTTGATAAAGAAAGGAAGGTGGATGAATAGTTATGATGATAAGATGGATGGATTCAAAGAAAAGAAAGGAGATATCTCTTCTTAGTTGTCTCTTACACAAAAGTGGCTAAAAAACTTAAGGGAAAAATGAGATGTTCCTTTAGAAAAAACCCTAATATATATATAGCAAAGTGGGTCAGACCGGGTCAGCCCAAGACAAATTGGGTAATGACCCGGTTTAGTTGGGTCTTGTAGTCCTTGCTGCGAGATGGTCTTCATTCCCTCACCTGTAGCTCCTATCTCGCAGCCTTAAGCGAGTATGCATGCGGCTCAGCACTTGTCTTTCTCCACCCTCAGCTCCCATGTCGCAGCCTGAAGCGGATGTTCCTGCGCCTCAACACTTCTCCTTCTCTACCCGCAGCTCCCATGTCGCAGCCTGAAGCGAGTGTGCCTACGGCTCAGCACTTCTCCTTCTCCACCTGCAGCTCCATGTCGCAGGTTGATTGGCACTTAGAATATTTCCGAGCTCCTGGAATCTTACTCTGCTCCGAGTGTCCTCACTCAAACCATTCATGTCGCTGCTTGTTCCCAGAGTTAAACACATGTTGCTGCGAGTGAGACCAGCCGCAGCACTCAAGTTGCAGTATTTCTCATTTTCTCGGACCAACTTGAACTTGAACTGGCATAACTTATGGAATATGGGTCAAAACGACTCGGGACAAACTCCAGAAGAAAGGCAGCTCAATTAACTAGAACCTTACTGAAGAGTGAGAGTGCATCCAGGGAGGGAAAGGCTTTCCAGTAAGCGGTTCTTTGCATCAGCCCAGGAAGTTTCGGTTTATTACTGCAGGACATGTCTGTTTCCCGTTTGCGATATCTCCCAACTAAAATCTTCAAATGAAATGATTTTACGCGTTCTGGAAAGGTGACTCAAAGCTCTCAAATCTTGATAAAGGCCCCGGAAACTGGATCGGAAGGGAATAGCTTCATCTTGGGTGATCTTTGAGGCGCATCGGATCGGTCCGGAATGGATGCAAGACAGGTTCATCTTCTGTTGGCCATATCTTTCAGCTCACTGCTCTAAATCCATTGATTCTAAGTGTTCAGGAACCATGACTCAATCTTCTTTAGTTGTTTTGAAGACACTGAAGGCTGAATCGGACGGGAAGGCTTTCTGGTATCGCTATCTTTGAAGCATATTGTCACCTGTAAATTTGATCGATGATCATGTTCTGCGGTTCAGGTTTTGGCCGAGTCCTGCTACCCGCGGTAAGGTTTTTGGCCGAGAAATCCTTTCCGCGGTACACCAGTTTCGCCAATAAACTCCAAATGTGTCTTCTCATCATTTATTCACCTTCTTTCCATTTCTTCCTCTGATTCCACCTTTTTCACTTCGATTAAGCTCCAAAGCACCTAAATAACACTCCAAACATGCAAGAATCCCTTGGACCTAATGCAAAGTCCTAAAACTCTAAAACAAGGGCAAAACATAAAGAATCTATCTAAAACGCATGCATGAGAATCTATTCTTGGACCAAAAATGCATCCTAATGCAAATTTCTACCAGCCGTGTACCCCCTCATCATGTTAACTAGAGGAACATGACCATATATGTAGCTATTCATAAAGATACATTTCTTCATCGCATTTTTCACTGATGGGATTGATCCAATGTCTTCCAGCATTAGATCAATACAATGAACAGCACATGGCGTCCAATATATAGATTTTTTTGTTTGACCTCAAACAACTCTCCAGCTTTCTTGTAGTTAGACGCATTGTCTGTGACAACCTGAACCACATTCTCTTCTCCTATTTCCTCTACCATCTCATCAAGTAACCCAAACAGCAATTTTGAATCCTTCACCACCTCTAAAACATCATTGGACTTAATGAAAACAGATCCTTTTGGCAAATTAACCAAGAAATTTACAAAGTCCTTCTTAGACACTGGATCACGCCATCCATCTGACATCAATGAACAACCTTTGTCTGCCCACTATTTCTTGTTCTCATCCATCTGAGCAAGAGTGTTGGCTTTTTCTTTCTTCAAAAAAAGTTTCTCTCAACTCGTACATGGATGGAGGTTTTAACCCAACTCCGTAATTCCCAATCAAGTCGATCATCCCTTTGAAACTCGGATAATTGACAGCATTGAAAGAAATCCCAGCATCGTAAAACCACCTGGCTATACCAAGAAAAACTTTATTCCTTTTCTCTTTATCACAAACACCGAAGATGCTTTTCTGTCTTTCCTTCCTTGCAGAATATCTTTTGGAGGGACAGTGACATACTTGTCCAATGGTCTTCTAACTTTCTGTTTCTTTAGTTGCACGTTTCCAGTTGGTGGTTCCTCCGAATCTTCATCATCATACTGATCATCAACCGCAGGTGCATACCCCATTTTTCTTGCAACTAAATTCTTAGCTCTACGATAAAGGTAGTTCCTAATTTCTGTCTGAACATAGTCTGGAGCTAATGTACACTTTTTGGCATCTTTTAAACCCCCTACCAAGTGATGCTTCAAACGAGTAATTCCTCCATCTATTCTATTAAAACAGAAGCACATTTAGTACTTGCATCCAAACACTCCTAAAGTTTTTTTTATAATATTTTATTTTATTTTTATATTTAATTTCAGAAAATTAGTTAATAATTTAGATATTTTTAGTTTTCCTAAAATCTAGGTCATCTTCAATTTAAATTTCAAATTATTAGAAATTTAATTAAATTTAGTTACAAAAATTTGCATTCAATTTAATTTAAAGTCAAAAAATTTAAAAAAATTATAATTAAATTTTATTAGGAAAATTTAGATAATGATTTTAATACTTTAAAATTTCTTAAATACAGGAGAGATTTAATTTAAATTTTAAATTTAAATAATATTTTTATAAAAATGCATAGTAAATAAATATTTTATCGTATTTTATCATAATCAATTAGTCTAAAATATCAAATATTTGAGTTTAATAAATATTTATATTATACAATATGATCGAACTGATTAGAGTTATATATATATATATATATATATATATATTTAAGGTCCATGAGTTAATTTATTAAAACATGTAAGATATTAAGATGATTTGAGACAATTAAACTAACAAGTTAGCCAGTTTATATATATATATATATATACATTTTTTTAATAGCATAAATAATAAATAAATATCTTATTATATTTTTTATAATCAATTGTAACAAATATTCTATATTAGTAAATATTTATAGAGTTATACAATTATAATTATAGTCTAATGCAAGTTAGTTTGTCAAAATATGTAAGATATTAAAAATGATTTAAATTACCCTTTTAAACCCTAAAACAAAATCTACCGTTATAGCACAGAAAGCGGTATTCAGTTTTGAGACAAAAAGCGTCAATAGCGACCGCTTTTCAATAACGCAAAGCTATTGAATTTCATAGCGATGATGATATCGCTACGGGCTATATACGATATGGCGGTGAAAAAGAACACTTTTTAAAACACAGCCTTGATAATAAGTTCATGTTTACTTAACTACATAAATTTATAATTGTAAACATATATTTCCATTGCTTGATTTACATGTTATATGAGTCATATAGACCAGATAAATTTCTTTTGTAATTGTATAAAAAGTAATTTGGATGGAATTATGGATTGGGCTTTTATTAAGAAAATTAATCAAAAATTTAGACATCAAAAAATATTGATGGATGTTTTAAACAACAATAATCGACTTTAATACAAATTTGATTATGGTAGAAAATTGTATTAATAATTTGATCACACAGATTATTTATGAACGAATATCGATTTTGAATTTTTTTTTTGACGATAGATTCAATTAAATTTTGGATTTAGTATAAATTAATAAAACGAAAAAAAATAATTATAACATACTTAGTAAATTTTTTTTTAGAAAATTTTGCTTATAAGTTTTTGTATCTCGCACTTGAAAATTTATTAGAATTTAGTTGTACAAAATTACGTCCATTTTAATTTCTCACTCAGTCTTTAATAAAACAAAATCTGTTAAGGAAAAATAAACGCCTACCATACGGTGTCGTATGATTCTGTTATCTTTTCTTAGAGAAGGAGACGAAACAGCAGCTTTGGATTCATCAGGATTGAGAAGGAGCTCGTTCCGATACGGTGGTGGGTGAAAAAAATGTCGTCATTTCTCAAATCCTTCATTGATCCAAGTAAGAATTTCCTTGCTCGGATGCACATGAGAGCCATATCTACTCGACTTCGAAGATACGGTCAGATCTCGCCTCTCTCTCGAAAACCATAAGTTTCTGTATCCGAAACCTGAATTCACTTTCGATGTTAGTTCGTGAAATCGGGATTTTTTTGTTCTGAATCTGTTGCGTATGAATCAGGTCTTAGGTACGATGATCTGTACGATCAGTATTACAGTATGGACATTAAAGAGGCGATGAACAGACTCCCCAGAGAAGTCGTTGATGCTCGTAACCAGCGTCTTAAACGCGCCATGGATCTCTCCATGAAGCATGAGTACCTCCCTAAAGACCTTCAGGTACTTTTGTTTCACCTTCCAAGGAAAGACTTTTTTTTTTTTCAGAAACTTACATTTTGAAGCCAAAAGGTTGTGAATTTGAGATTTGTCTATGGTGTTCTCCTGGGAATTAAGGAAATTATAGAAAATCAGAGGATCATTCATTAGCTATTTGGATTGAAAAAGATGCGTTGAAACTGTTTTCTCTGTTGTGGATTTTACTTGTCTGAATCAGGGTAACTTATGTAATGAAATGATCCTATATGCTTTGGTTCTTGTATTCATTTGAACACTTTGCTCTTATTTAGCTCAATGGGAGATTCGGATTGATAGAATTGAGAATATTAGTTTCCTTGGTTAAATGCTGATTTTCATGTACAGTTCTTCTATTGATATCCTCATAATCGGCTTTGTAGCTTTCAAGAAATTGCATTGATACAGCATTTCTTATTTGAGATCTTGATTTCGTTTGCAGGCTGTGCAGACGCCATTCCGGGGCTATCTTCAAGAGATGTTGGCTCTAGTAAGTCTCTTTCTAATCTGTAACTTGTGCTATGCTTGGACTTCTGGAGTTTTAACTGAGATTCTATGTCATCATTATCATCATCATTCTGTTTTGAGCATTGCAGGTCGAGAGGGAAAGATTGGAAAGAGAGGCTTTGGGAGCTCTGCCTCTTTACCAGCGCACAATCCCTTAAGCATTTTTTTTCGATTTCTTGCGAATGGAGGTTGCTTTTTAAGTACAAGTCTCCTAATTGGTATTTTTGGTACTCATTTCCCAAAACCAATCTACTCTGGTTCTTGAAAAATAGAAGCCTCTTTTGCATATGTTGGCTTTGAATAAAATCATTGATGCAACCCAAGTATTTTTTTTTTCCTTTTTCTGTTTGTATTTCCATGATTCCATATATTTTCTTGCTATTGCCCTATAGTTTTATAATTTCAATAGATTAAGAAAATCATCAAGTTAAAGTTGCAAACACGAATACACGATACTATCACCTTTTATTTCCAGGATATTATTTCATTTAGTTTATTAGTATACACTATAGACTACAAAGTATTATATGGCAGATACATATCCTTCAATGCGTGTAGTATAACAACAAAAAATCCTTAAATACATGTTTTTTCTAAAATAATAGCTTTTTATTCCTCTTTTTTCTTCTTCTACGTCCTCGACTATCCAATTTCTTAGCTTAAAACGTAAGGCACAAGTTGAAGTTGACAAGCGAGCAGCTACCTTACCTTGATAATTTTGATATACGAGCAACAAAATGTATTTGCGAACATATGAATCCCGGTACCTCTGTAAATCAGCTTCAATGCATTAACCATGAGTTATTAAGAAATAAAGGCAGGTTTCGGTGTAGCTTTTGATGGCCTGTGAAATTTCCAAAATACACATGCTACAAACTAACAAGCATAGACAGTTTCGCGCTCAGTGTGGTTAGAAGAAAAGTCATGAGAATCGACTTCGCAATCTATTAGTAATACATTTGCTGAAATAGCATAGACTACTATCAGAGTATTCCACACAACCAGACCGTATAGTGCAATTAATACTTACCAATAATCGGTAAACTTATCCAACCATACCAGGCTGTACATGTTTCTCCTTAAGGGAAAGGAACAGTTCAAAGCCTGAGCAAAGAGTTATCCCAAACAACACCTGAAACAGATTAGTTATGTATAGCGAAAAAGCAAAATACACTGCAATATCAGTTACGTGTTTGAGGGAGAAGGAGCATTGTGTTTAGCACCATTCAGTAAACCCAATGCATCAGAGTAAAAATCTCTAGAAGCAAGCGAGATCTGCAGGCACCCGGCATGGCTACACTGTTCCTGAAAAATGTAGGGGAAGTTCAATAATCCACCACTAAGGAGGATAATACAAAATGACTCATCTTATCAAGAAGCTTAAACACAAGAAACTAAATTATATATGTATATAAAAGACAGCTTCGTAACACACAATCCTCCAAAACAAGACTTATCTTAGAGCATGGATACTGTAAACTTCTCTTAAACTTCATTATCCAGAGATTACAACAGAAGAAAATTTATGCTGACTATAAGAAGAAACATTATAAGAATTGGAGTTCACATACATACTCTTCCCTTCTGCTGTCTATGCAATCACTATAAGAACCCTCTGGGAAAAGAAAAATTATATAACAGTTGGTTCCACATTGCAGGGAAGTATGGCCAACACCTGAAGACAAGACTGTTAATGATCAAAAAGAAATGATACTAACAATATTCACTATAGGTACCAACTGATTTTAGATTTCTTAGCTCCATCAAATGTTCATCAGTTGATATATTTAGAGAAAGTCGGAGATCGGTTAGTGATGCTTCCTGATCCCAATTCAAGGGCCCGGAAGCAAATAACTTCCCTAGTGTACTGCGGTAGGTGTATAGTTCAGGTCTACAAGATCTCGCTCCTCCACCACTAGCTTCTCCAACGTAGCCAAATGCTTCTTTCGAAGATTCAGCATCACTACCACAAGAGTCGGACTCTTGACTAGAACCATCTAGAAAAGAAGTTGACGCGTCACTCTCATCATAGCTAATAGGGCTACAACTACCAACTGAGCATGCATCGGTATCATAACAACCATTAGAGACTGAGCTTCCTGTACCAACACATTCACTAAACTTTTTTGATCTTACCCTCACCAATTGACGGAAACCACTTTTATCATCGTTAATGTAAGCTTGCACACGCATTTTACCATCTACCTTCTGCAGTGAAGAGGAAGCAAACCGGTTCTGATCTTCTTCTTCCTCCATTGTTCGTTTCCTCTTAGGACTTCCCGTGCATGATTCAGCAGACTCATACCAATCACAAGGTAAAGGTCTCTTCAACATTCCTAACGAAGCAACACTAGTCTCCTGGAGTACCTTGCTGTTCAGAAAGGGCTTTAGACTCTGGTGTACATCTGATCCGGTAAGCGTCGAGGACTTCACAGAGCAAGATACCTGACAGAAAATGATTATACAACAGTTAGTAAACGTGTACCATTAACGACCATACACTTAAAAGAGAAAGACACAGAAAAAGTTTTAAAATTTACCTTCCCAATCATAACCCATCTATCATCTTGCCAAGCTTGTCGAGCCCTGAGGTTAACTTTATGAACCGTGAGTTTTTCTGTGGCGCCAAGTAACCGAACCACGTAGTATTTTCCAGGTAACTCGTCCAGGACCATACCGGTTTTCCAGGAGATATCATCAAGAACCTCCACAAATTCACCAGCTGCCCATCTATCTACATCAATTTGCGGAGGACACGGCCTGATCATCTTCCTTGCAACTCTCTCCTCCAATGTTTCATCGTTTGAGAGTCCATAAGAGTAATACCTAACACTGTACGTGTGACCATTACCCGATATTATCTCGCCTGACCGCCACGCGCCATAAGGTGCCTCTTTGATGCTCAAAACCTCCACTCTAGTTCCTTTTCTGAATCTCATTAGCTTAATACCTGCAAAAAACAAACAAAAATTCTCCAACTTAGTGCTACATTCAATAAATCTGATAGAAGGAAGAAAACAATCTCAATAGCTATCATGTATATCATAAACTCGAATCAACACGGATTTTCACTAAGTAATTATAAAAACAAGCAAAATTGAAGAAATTAAGCAAACAATTAATCAATACTACAGGACATCACAGGGAATCAAAACGAATTCGGTTCGGAAGAATCCCTAAACGATTATAGATTAAGAAAAACGTAAAATCAATACACCAACTAAGAATATCGATCGAAGAAACTTTCGTGGTGATCAAGGGTGTAAACAAGAGCAATGATACAGCCCCAAAGAAGAAGAAATTGAATAAGAAATTACCTTGTACAAGTCTGGAGTAGGTTCGATCACCGTAAGATTTCGGAAATTGCTTCTGGATTTCTCGGGATTGTGAACAGATTATCGGACGAGCGATTGGGGGTTAGGGCTTTCACGTTAATGAAATATACAATTACAAACGAAACTTGGCGTAATAAGACGTTGCCAAATTTATATAATTTTATATTTCAAAGTAATTTAATATACTGAAATAAAAATAAGAATTAGTAATAAATTTCAGTTAATTTGGTTGGTTACTTGGTTTTACAAAATTCAGATGTAATTCATATTTGGTTTAGCGTAAATCGGTATGGAAAAACCGTTTGGGTTGTTTTAAAATGCGGTGTATGAATTTGAGTTTGGTTTGATACGGTTTGATCTTACCCTAATTCTTCTGATTTCGGATCTTATCACCCAGTTTCAAGGACGAAAGGGATGTACATTCAGTTTTTCTTCGATTCAGTTTACTTTAAGTTATTCGAAATTCAGAAAATATGTTTTTCATACCGAATTACACTTACCAAAATATTTTTCACATCAAAAGTTTATATTGATTCAGTTCGGTTTTTTGATAATTAGGTTTGGTTATATTTTGAATTTAATTCGGTTTTAGGAAACATATAAGCAAAGTAAAAACAATTAATTCATTTGAATCAATACTATCAATCTATCTATATAGTGTACTGTTTTGCTAATATGTCGCGTTCACAGCATTCACAGCGAGTTTCACAGTGTTTCGCTTATGTATCAGTTCCAGAATGAGTTTCAGCTGCAAAAATACCGTTTAACCTCATTTTATAATTACATTTCATTTTTATTGGTTTTATGTGATTCTGTGTTAAAAATAATTTAAACAAACTGCTCTAAATAATTATGGTTTAATATTTAATTTTGCCGTCAAAATCAAACCGTTTTTAAAATTATATTAAACCAAAATTTATAAAAAATGAACAAAAGTATTTTTCAAAAATAACACAAAAAATCTAGAAATTTACCATTTCTGATGTTCAAAGTTTTTTTAAAAAAATAAACAAAAACGTTTTTTTAAAATTAACACAAAAAATTTATATACTTATTTTTGTAGTGTTTTGCTGATGTGTCGCACTCACAGCGAGTTTCGCAGTGTTTCGCTTACGTATCAGTTTCAGAATGAGTTTCGGCTGCAAAAAAACCGTTTAACCCCATTTTGTAACTACATATCATTTTTTATTGGTTTTTATGTGATTATGAGTTAAAAATACTTTAAACAAACTGCTCTAAATAATTAGAATTTAATGTTTAATTTTGCTGTCAAAATCAAACCGTTTTTAAAATTATATTAAACCAAAATTTATTAAAAAAATGAACAAAATATTTTTCAAAAATAACACAAAAAATCTAGAAATTTACCATTTCTGATGTTCAAAATTTTTTAAAAAAAAAAAGAAAAACGTTTTTTAAAATTAACACAAAAAATCTAGAAATTTACCATTCATTATGTTCTCAAAATTTAGAAAAAATCTAACTAAAATATTTAAAAAAAAACAAAAAAAACGAAATTTATGGTATAATATCGCTAATTATTGTAGTGTTTAAGATTTCTTATGTTTATAAAGTTTTTGATTTCTTATGATTTAGTATAAATATTAACTACTTTTTACTATTTCTAATTTTCAAAATTGTTTAACCTATGCCTTCTTCTTCATTCTATCTATATACTATTTATAACATATATACAAACAAATCGAAAATATTTCTCATCATACAAATCTATGAAAAAGTTAAATTACTAATAACGTTATATAGATAATTGCTTAAGGAAAATTATGTTTATCTTTTAAAAAATAAAAAAGGGAAATCTACAATAATCGTCATAACTGAAAACCTAAATGCAACCTATATATAAAATTATGACTAATTTTAAATTATTATAGTTTAATGTTTAATTATATAGTCTAAATTTCGGCTGTAAAGAGACCATTTAGCCCTATTTTACAATTATGTATCATTTTTTTATTGGTTTTTATTTCATGATGTGTAAAAAAAAACTTAAAACAAACCAATCTAAATTATTATGGTTTAATGTTTAATTTCATAGTCAATCAAACCGTTTTTAAAATTATATATAACCAAATTTTGAAAAAAAAATTAACAAAAACTTTTTTTAATTGGAATTTGTATCTCTTAGTGTTTACCATTTCTTATGTTTCCAAAATTTAGAAAAAATCTAACAAAAATATCAAAAGAAACAAAAAATGGAAACTATTTAAAAAGTAATGAAATATCGTTTCAAAACATAAGAAAACTGAAATTTCAAAAAAAAACTCGTACAAAAAAGTTGTATATATATATAAAACACATAAAACAGTTATCAAAATTGAATAAGTTATATTAAACTAATGGAATGACAGTATTTGTGATATTTAAAACACATAAAACAGTTATAAAAATTGAATAAGTTCATACGGTATTTCAAAATATTACGTCTAAAATACATATAATAGTAATCAAAAGATCTCAAAACTATTTAAACTAAATTATTTGGATATTACTATGTTTTTATTTACTCTCTTCTATTCTAACTTGTTTTCACGTTCATGTATTCCAACATTAAAATGCAAGGAAATTTAACAAACAAATATACTCAAGAATAAAAAACAAATGAATCCAAACTACTATTAGATTTTCAAACAATCAAATGGAAATTATATCAACTAGTTTTTAATATTAAAAATTAGTATTTCAATATAGATTTTCGGTTAATTCTATTGGTTTTTTGAAATTTTGGTACATATTTTTATTCCGTTTAGATTTGTTTTACAATTTGGATCGGATTGGGATTTTTGGAAATATCGCTTCGGTCGGAACGGTTCAGTTTCGGTTGGTTTGAGAATTTGGCCAAAATCGAATCGAAGGGAGACAATTAGACAAAGCTCCTGATCTCTGATAGGTTTTTTCTCGGGCTAGATTATCTCTCCGGCAAAGATGCTTCGTCGCCAGATTCTCCGGCAAGCTTCCGCCGCCGCTGCGGAATCGAAGCTCACTCGTCATCTTCACGGATTCGATCAGCGGGTAACAACAATTCTCTCCCCAAATTGGAAATGACTCTTGCATCGGTTCCGTGATTTACCTTTTTGCGGTGTTGTTGATTGTTATGGTTTTGGTTCAGAGAGGATTACACAGCAGGAACAAGAAAGCAATGGAGTATGTAGCCAAAGGATGGAGTGCGATTAAGGAAGTGGACAGAGTCATCGATTACTGTGAACTCAATGATCGACGCCTTATTCCTCTCCTCAGGGTACTCTTAAACTCTGAATCTGGTGAAATCTTGTGTTTTTAGTTTTGATAACGAATCCTTTGTTTTGGATTCTCTGGCTTCAGGGAGCTAAAGAGAACTTTGAGCTTGCTCTTGAGGCTGATAATTTGAACACTCATGCTAGATACTGGCTTTCAAAGTTGCACTTGAAGTACCATGTCCCAGGAGCGTGTAAAGCTATGTAAGTAAATCAAGAGACTTTGGTTAAACATCACCGAGTTTTTGCCATGGCTTTTCATACGTTTTTTTGTTTGTAACCATTACAGTGGAGCTGCTTTGCTTGTTGAAGCTGCAGACATGGGTAATGCAGATGCTCAATATGAACTAGGGTGTCGTTTAAGAGTCGAGGTAATGAAGATGTTTATGTTTGCTAAGAGAATACAATGTTACGATTGAGAAACTCAGAGATGGAGATACTTTAGAGCTTCATCTTTAATCTTTTGTCAGTTCCATTGTTGCGTTAGTGGGCTCTTCTTACCTTAGAAGAAACCTCTGCTTCCTGAGCAGCTCTGTCTCCAACCAGCATTTCGTACTAATTGTAAATCTTTCTTTCAGAATGATCATGTCCAGTCCGATCAACAAGCGTTTCACTATATAGAGAATGCTGTCGATCAGGTATGAAATTTACAGTGCAGCTCTAAGAATTTTATATATTTTTTGGAAATTTCAGAGATATCTCACTTGGAGTTGGGAATTTTGCAGCTGCATCCAGGTGCTCTCTACCTTTTAGGAATAGTGTATATGACAGGAGACTGTGTGAAGCAAGATATAGATTCAGCTATATGGTGTTTCCACAGGGCTTCGGAGAAGGTACGAAACTTTGTCTTACGAAATCACTCTTTCTAGTTTATATCTAGATCAGTACTGGTAAATTAAAGCAAAAGATTCTGTTGTTTTGCTCAATTCTTACATTAGTGTCTCTTAAGACTTAACGTTTGGCCAAGTTTGATGGGAAAGCTTTTTTAAGACATTTTGTTGTTGTTCCTATAGTCTGACACGCATATGTTCAGGGACATGCTGGTGCTGCTATAGCGTATGGATCTCTTCTACTTAGAGGTTAGTAAATCGGAACCATCTTTCTTCTTTTACATCATATCCTCAAGATTATCATTTCATTTCTTGCTTTCGAGGTTACTTGCTTAAGATCTCAGTTTTTGTACAGGTGTGCAAGTCCCGGAGTCTCTAACAAAATTGAATACCGTGGGAGTTTCGCCGCCCAAGAGAATAAGAAAGAACGATCCGGAAAACCAAGAGACGAATACATTAGAGATGGCGAAAGAGCAGTTCCAAATCGCTGCAAGAGCAGGATGCGATCTTGGGCTCAAATGGCTGCAAAGGTTAGAGCAAGAAGAGAAACTTCTTATGACCGAAGAAAATAACGAATGTGCCTACGTATAAATGCAATATGTCTCTTGTGGAGCGAATCATCAAGCAAGCTTATGGTGCTAGAATGTTATATCTGTCTGTTTATACAAAATGTGAGAATTGAGATTTTACGTTTAGAGTATGCGTAGAAAGCCGGAAAAAACTGCCAGTACAATCAAAGATATTGATACTTTGGAAAGCTTACAACAGGCAATGTCATCAACTTTACATGAACCATTCACTCAAAGGGAATGCACCATTTGACCGGTAACATAAAATACAAACAAACAAGCAGTAAGAGAACATGGTACAAATCCACAGATCAGTGTTTTTATTTTGACCGGGTCCGATATAACCGGTCTCATATCACTACAATCACCAGATAAAAGAAGTCCAGGTGTCGGACCTCCGAACTAAACCACCTCAGGCAAGCCATCTGCTGGAATTAACATAGGTTTTCAGGCAAATGGAACCAGGTGCACTGGTGAGTTTACTTGTCAACGATGACCGAGGAGTTAAAATGTCTTCGGTGAGAGAGTATTACGAGACACTAGATGAGGGCCTGATCTTGCTTGAAACCCCAGGCCCTTCTAATGAACCGATGGGTAGATAGAGAGACATTGACTAAAAGTGGAATTGACCCATCACAGATACAGAGTCACGCCTACAATTGGTATCCTTGGTGTTGAGGGAAAGACTTGAGAACTTAGATTCGAGATCTTTGCTAGTAGCGCGTCCGTTATTTGCTGATGGTTTATGAGCTTGTTGTTCTTGTTGTTGTTGCTGATACAGAGCTCGTAGTCTTCCAATCTCATTTTCCAGCACCTCCTGTTCCACTGGTTAATAGAGAACTCATGAGTTGTAGTATTGAATAGGCTAACAAGTATTGTGAAGCTTGTTTGTTAGTTTCTCTAGCAGCTTAATGAAATTAGGAGCTACAATAGATTTGAGAAGAGTCCAATAATTTCACAAGCTAAAAGAATTCATACTTGATAATCTTGATTAGAGTTTGGTTCTAAATGAAACTAAAAGAATATGTTTTGGGGTGGGTGGGATAAACTTACATTGTTTGATCAGCTTATCCTGAGCTATACTTTCAAGGCGGTGCTTAAGAGCTTTATTTTCCATACTCAGAATAAGATTCCGCTGATTGAGAAAGTCAAGCTCAGCTGAAACTTTGGAGCCTTCTGCCTATCGATACCAATGAAACATCATACTTCAGTGCTCCCGAAATTGTAATCTTATACATATTTCACTAACTCTCGGTTTTTGTTAGTCTTACCTGCAATGCTTGTACATTTCTTTCTAGCTCAGATATGTACTGGAGCTTACGGACCCGTGATCGTTGTGCAAATTGCCTGCAGGAAGCATTAACTAACCATGTTAATAATCAATTCATCAATGCCATTAGTGTTTCTCATCTCTCACTGCCTGACGTAAGATGATGCTACTAAACTATGAGAGTTTTCCTCAAGTCAATGAAGACCAAGAACAATATCATATAGAATGAAAAAAAAAGCATTCACCATCAATGGAATCAGTGTCTCCTACTCTAGATTGCTTTAGATAGTTAAATATCATTCAAGAATAAGTAAAGAGATCACATACTGTTTGGCTCGTTTTATATTGTCAAACTCATACGTCACAGGCTGAGGACTGGAATTGTTTTCCTCAGAAGAGAACCTTTTTGGGTCATCTGCGTAGTTCATTGTTTCTGCTGTTGCTTCTTGAGACATATACGATGCTCCCATGTTTTTTACACCAACATTCTCTCGAGCAGACGGTAGCTGCCAACAAGAACGAGCCCCAGACGCCACCAAAGAATCCCTCTGCCGATTCTTCTGTTTTAGAAAACTAGCATCAGCGTAAAAAGGTGCGTCCTCAGTGTTTTTCCTACGATCGGATCCTTGAATTCCTCTTTGAACAGAAGAAACCGGATTCCTGTAGCTGAAATTATTTTGGAGAGTCAAGCTTATGTTTGTAGCATTAGCAACGTCTAGGTAAGCGTAAGAGTCACTTGACGAACGCCTATGACCACATTTGCGAGCAGGACTCTCTGGCTCATTGAGAAGATCATCAAGCCAAAATGGAAGTTCTTCTACCAAATGGCTCTCAGAGGAAGTTCTCTGGTGGTGCGTTTTGTCGTGGCTAAGCTTCTGACTGTGCCTCGAACCTATCAAACCACAAGGGATATACTCGGTATACGATGCTGATACACTTGGAAACGGAATTTTTGGAGGGAGCAAAGCGTTTTTTCCTGAGTACATCAGATTCTTAACACTCTCTGATCCCTTGGAGCCAGCCATTGCCACTCTTTGCCTGCCAATAATAATATATATCAGCTAATTCGCAAGAGCATCTCGTATTTGTAAAACATTCTTAAAGATCAAAAAGACAAAAGATGGATCTGACTATTCATTGCATCAACACACTAAGCTTGGCCTATGTACAGAGTAGTTTTAATGTTTTAAAGATAACCTCAAAGCACAGATCAATGCAATAATTCTAGAAACAAGCATTTAGTTTTAATGTTTTAGTCCATCAAGTTGCTTTCTCATCAAAGCTGGATCACTCATAAAAGTGATTTGACTGATTATATCTTATCTCTACTAAACAAGCTTCTTAATTATCTAAGTTAACCAATAACCTTTCTTCTTCTTCTTCCCGCATTTTCCAGCAACCAAACAGTGAACAAACTAATCAAAAAACACGTAGTAATATCTGAATCCATAGAAAGCAAGTATGATGATGAACAGATACAGATTCTTCTTATCTGTTACCAGTTTCCGATAATTGAATTTACTTCAAACTCAAAGAAGAAAATTTAGAAACGAAAAAAAAAAAAACACTTACCAGTCGGAGATAGAAGGAAGATTTCAAGCCTTGAGACAAGATCCGAAATCAGAAAAACAGAAGCTGAAAATGATAACTCCGCCTTAATCCGTTCACCGGAGATCTTCCGTCGTAGGAATCTTTGCCTCTCTGTCTTATCGGTGACGGAGAAGAATCCGGAGGAGGGGGATGAGAGAAATTTGGGGAAATTTAGTCCTCAAAAGGTAAATCAAAGCTTCACTTTTGTCTTAACTCTTAAGACCCTTTTGTTTTTGTTTACTTTTGAGTATTTTAAAAATCGTCCGGAATACTTTATTATATTTTACATTTGGCCCCCGATGTTTCTTTTTGCGAGAATTTTTGATTCAAGAGTTCCAAATTCGAACGAGTAATCAAATCAAATTTCAATTGACGTTAAAAGACTATTATATATAATTTTACTCGATTTCGTTTGATTAGTTTTTTTTTAAGTAGTCAGTTACGAATGTTTTATTTATTGTAGAATTGCAAAATGCATGTTCTCAACGGCTAATTGACATCGAATGTTAGAAACAATGTAAAACATGTACATGCATCAGAGCCGGCCTGAGTTTTAAGTGGCCACAAGCTAAAAAAAATAAATGAGCTGTTTTTTAACTAACAAAATTGAATAATTTTATAACTAAAAGAAAAAATGGCCACAAATTAAAGAAAAATTTTATGCAAAAAAATAGGACCACAAGCTTATGCTTGTACTGCTTGGCCTCAGAGCATCTCCAACCCTACTCTATTTTTTGCTGCAAACTCCATTTTGGAGTAAATTTCACTCCAACCCTACTCCATTTTTGACTGCAAAATGGAGAAAAAATAGAGATTGCTCCATATTTGGAGTAAACCTTTATTCTACTCCATTTTGCAGCTATACTTTTTTTATTTACAATCTGATCCTTAAAATATTAAATCATTATAATTTTATACTTTTTATCAACACAACATTATTTTCGACATTATATATGGTTATATGCATTTTTTCAGATATACACTTAATATTTGTATGACACATATCACTTTGATTTATATATATATATATATAATTAAAAAATGGTCTCTATGTATGTATATATATATATATAACTATCGGTTTAATAATTAAGTTTTTATTTTATGATTCATGTTTATAAGATTTTTTGACAAGATTATAGGACTTTAATAGTTTAAAAAAATATAAAATAGACAATCATAAATATTTGAACACTAAAATTTTTATTCAAAATATTACAACTTAAAATAAACTGAAAAATACACAACAAGTGCTAAAATCAAAGATAAACATAAAAGTTTAACACAACAAATACAAATAATTTAATATTCTGCTAAATCGATTTCTGATCCACCGATATCATTAAAATATTGTCCAAACGAAGTTGATGGAGGAGGAAATTCTTGATTTTGTTGTTGAGCATTCCGCTTTTGTAAAATTTTTGTTTGTTTGCCTTGAACACATATGCACGAATATTTGGATCTGATATGGAACTCATGTCATAAAATAACATTTTGTTTTCCATCCTCAGCTCTTTCAAAGCATAGTTTTTCTGTTGAATCTCCAGATGATTTTGTCTTTGTGCACTTTTCTTTAATTGCTCTAAAAGTTGTTTATTTCCTTCTTCTAAAGTGTTGATAACTGATGTTGTTTGATCAACAAGTTTTCTTTTATTTTTGGATTTCTTGATCCCCATTGGTCGTGAAGAGGGAGATCCGCTAGTAAGCTCGTCAATATTTTAATTTTATTAAATTCGTAAATTATAAATATTTTAGATAAAATAAAAATAAATGGGTTATTTTGTAACTTCTAAAAGTTATAGGTTATTAAAAGTAAAAGAAAAATAGAATCTATTAGGAATATTCTTTTTTGGAGTCAAAAAATAGAGATTTACATTGGAGATGGTCTCAGGGTCGGCTCTGCATGCATACATATATATATATACATAATTTTTTAAATATACCCAAATTTAAATCAGAATAATAGTTTTTGTCTATTTTTAATTCATATATGCATGTTACTCTTTTTTAAAAAAAAAATATTCAGAACAATTATATTAGACGATTAGACAACAAACAATTTTACAGGTTTCCAAAAATCCACAACAGACGGTTCTATGACTTCTATCTGCACTACATTCATAATGAATTATTTGGTATAAAAGCATGAACCTTTAAATCAAAATATTAAAAAAGGTTTTCACAATTTGATGCTCGAAGAATACCTTTAAGGCTTTAATAAATAACATGTTACAATATACAAAAGAGCATATATATACAACGATAGTAACCTAGTTACAACTTACACGTCATAAACACTACACAAAGGAAAAGATGTTGTTTTTGTTGAATATCATGTTTTTAGCATATGGGCCATTTGTTTACTGATTTTCTTTATTTATATAGTGATTGATGAGTTGGAATTGATCTGTTACCTAACTTAAAGTGCAACAACATGGGCCAAGTTGTTAAATAAAGTAATAACAAATAGCCCTAAATATTAAACATTAGTTTATAAAATCTATATATTATTATTATTATATTTATAGGTTCACAAAATGACAAAAACAAATGTAATCTCAAATTTTTATTTTCTCCAACATGACTCTCAGAAAATTACTTAAATCCAACTCTCTTCTTCCTAATCCAGGCTGTGGCGGCCCCTTTTTTCCACAACCTAATGATGTTTATTATTCATCGTTAATCGCTGTGTTAATTAATTATTAATCACTTCTTATTATAATTAATCCTACTTATTTTTGTCCTTTATACAATTAACATCTTTATCATAGATAGACTTTACATATTATCCATGCTTATTTATGAAGCTTGCGTGTATAATATACAGTAATTGGGACGAGAAAACGACCATCACTATAACAAAAGTACAAAACCATGGCATGCCGCATGTTGTACTACTAGGATTCAACCCGCGGGGTAGTTCTAATAATATTCATATTCAAGGCAAAATATGTTAATTTTTTTTCTTCTGAATTTATAATAAATCTAAATAATAATTATAAATAAAATTATCAAATCAAACTAACATATTTACTAATGTTTTCACCTTTTGAAAAAACCTTATCCTGTTAAGTACATACAGTTCACAATATTAAGCATAAAATGAGAAAAATAACAATTAGCAAATTAATTTTACCAAAAAAAAAAATATTTACTTTACCTGTTTTATAATGAACTAAAATCTATAATCTATAATAGATAACTAAATATATAAACGCCATACAACTAATATTTACGTATATATATATATATATATAAGTCGAATAGGTATTTGAATTTGAGTTATTTTTGTTGTATAATTTAATATATAAATAATATGATATTAATATATATATATCAATATGGATTAGAATCTAAATATGTATATCTGTATGAGATATGATTATTACTGTTGGTTAATGAATTATATAATATATCTTATCAATGATTATATATTGGATTGACAAACGGACCAACCCATAAAAAACTATAATTTTGATACTAAAAACGCATTTCAATTCAATTATAAAAATAATTGAATGAAATTTTGAATAATACAAATAAAAATATTTTAAAATTTTAAATAAATTGTTTCTTTGAATATATGGATTAATTATTATCAAAAATAATAGAATATATTTTAACATCTCAATAAGACGAATAAGTAAAAAAAAATGCACTTTTGATTTATATAATAATTTTAAAAGACATTATTTTTTTCTATACTTTTATTTTTAATGACTATTTTATGTAATAGTTTATAAAAAAATGTTTATTTATAAAAATGACTCTTTAAATAATAGTATACAGATGTAAAACATATCATATATTACCATCTCACAACCCATTACCAACACTAGATAAGTTTTCTTTTCTTTTATCTTTTAAAATTTTTACATACTCTATTTCTCATCCTTACCTAATTTATTTCACCATTAAAGACAGTGTGATATATATATATATATATATATATATATACAAGCATGGTTTATCATGAAGAAACAGTAAAAAAAATGGACCAAATCATCGGGTTCAAGTTGGACGACTTGCAAAAGAAGTCTTGCAAAAAAATGAGGCCTTTGTATAAGAGAAATGGCTTATTTGAAAAAAAAAAAAAAAAAAAAGGCGTGAACTCTCCGGTCAGAAAATTTAAATGCCTTGATCGTCACAATATCAATATAATGCGTTACATTAACTTGTCAGCAGGTCCAGCCTAACATATTTTAAACCCGTTATGCGGAAAAAAAATTATTGGGTTTTTAAAATTTTTTTAACTAAAATTGAACTATTTTAAAAAAAAATTAGATCCATTTTACAAAAAAAAATTTTGAAAAATGATAGAGACCCAGGGATAGGAGCACCTCTGCCCACCCCTTTGGGCCGAGCCTGCTTGTCAGTCATAATTGATTAACGTGGGAATTATAATTGCTTGTGTTTTGTACAAAATTTTGCTTATTTAGTAAGTAGGCAGCAGCAATATCAACATCAGTTGTGCTTGCAAAAATAAATTCAACTCCATACCACATTTCAGGGGTAAATTTACGAGAAAACACTACAAATTTAGCCGGTCCATGCACGTACACTTAAAGAAACTTTACCGTTCGTTTAAGGTTGGTACTTTACTTGGTAGTCTTACGTTTCCTTAAACTCGGCGATCTCCATCCCCATATATGGTACTGACGGTACATGAAGATCTCGGCTGGTTTGGAATGATATATGTCTTTGTTTTTTGGGTTTCAAGGAAGGATATCTTTAATTATACAATATAGCACCTAAATCAAACTTTTGTTCTTTGATGGACTTCACACGTTGCAAAAAAAAAACGGAGAAAAAACTATATATCAGAGATCACTCTACGTACAGATATAAATGGTGTTAAGTTTGAATATAACCAAGAAAATAAGATATATTTATTACCTCAAAATATATTGTGTCGGATGGTATTTCCGGTTTGTTGTGCGGTTAGTATTGGATTTCTCCATGTTTTAGATTTATGACTAGTTCTTTATAAAACTCCATTCATTTAATAAATAGTAGTTTTCGGAATTTTAAATTTATTCAATTTTAAGTTTGTTTGTCCTATTGATTATAGTATTTTATTATTTAACTATTCTGTTATTCTTTGTTACTCAGTTAACATATCAGTCAACGCCACTATTTATTCATGTTTCTATAAATTAAATATAAATTGAAAATATGCAAAATAGATTAAAAAATAATTTGCTAATTGTTATTTTCAAAATATACTTAACTGTATGTGCTTAACAGGATAAGGTTTTTTCAAAAGGTGAAAACATAAAAAAAAAACTACAAAATCATACCAAATCAAACCCTATATCTATCACACAACTAAATTCTTAGTCAGAATAAAGGGCTTCAATGGTATGTAGTGGGTTTAAGTGTTTTCCACAGGTTAGACTAGTGATGAATTTTTTTTTTGTTTGTATTATACTAGGAGTAAACCCGCACATTATGCAGGTAATGTTTTTTAAATTATTTTTAAATTTAATTTTAAATTATTTTGGTTAAGTTAAAATACAAAAACCCTTTAACAAAGTTTTTTAATAAATAAAATTAGTGGTAATTAGATAACTATACATATATTTATGTTTCATATAATTGCGGAGGAAATATTTTTCATAAAATTGGTGGTAATTAGATAACTAAACATATAATTGCGGAGGAAATATTTTTCACTAACTATCTTTATGTTTTATTGAGCTTTCAATATTTGTAAAGTTTATTTATTTATATTTACAAATAAAAGTTCATTTACATAAATGATTTTGTAATATCTTACAATGAAAGATTTATTTATGTAAATGACTCCTCAAATAATAGTGTAGGGACTAATTTTATATGACAAAATCCTTATCTGATTGCAATGAGATTTGCAACATAAATCCTGACTAGGTGATTATCCGCACCATGTGCGGAGTAAATATTAACCACAATTCTTTTATTCGAATATACAAATATAATATATATAAATACAACTATAAAAATGTTAGCTGATATTTATAGTTACAAATATATATGATGGTTATGCAATTGTAAATAATGTTTAAAATTATATTTATTTTATAATACAATTGGATAAATTCTAGATAATTATTGGTTTTATAATTAAGTTTAATAGTATTTTTATATGAATAAAATTACACATTAAATATACTAAATTAGATTAACATGTTCTATCTAACCGGTATGACATCAGACTAAGATATTTTGCTTTGATATACAAAAATGTGAATTATAATATAAATGAAACAATTTCGATTTTCTTATTATTAAATAGATAATATGATTATTTTTTTAACAAAATTAAGATTAAAGAAAGATGAGATAAGAAAATACTGTTTAGTAAAAATAATGTTTAATAACATAAGTAATATTATTAAATTTTTATAAATATGTTAAATATGTTGATAAGAAATAGAAAGAGAGAGAATATCTTTTCAAATTAAATGTTTGAGTATTAAATATATATTTGATATAAACTAATCTCTTACCAAATTAATGTTAGTGGCATATGATGTAATTAATCTAGTAAGTTGAGTCTAATTTCAAAAAATCTTTGAGAAGTTCTCTGAGATTGACACATCAGTATGACAAACTTGTTAATAACACATGACATAAAGATTCTTTTTTAAGTGTCATTCTCAAATAATAATAGAAGATTTGGTTTGCAATCAAGCCTTATACTAGTTTTAGATGATAAAATCTTGATTTGCTATCATCTCATATTATTAATTGATAAGGACACCTAAAGAAATTTTTTTTTATCTCATTTATTATATTTACATGAATGTCATGTTGAGTTGTCAATCTGAGAGAGCTTCGTAGAGATATTTTGAATGTAAACTCAATTTACCAGATTAATTACATCATATGCCACAAACATTAATTTGGTTAGAGATTAGTTTATATCAATTATATTTAATACTCAAACATTTAATTTGTCAATATATTTTCTCTCTTTCTATTTCTTATCAACATATTTATAAAAATTTAATACATAATATTACTTATGACTAAACATTATATTCGTTATCTCATCTTTTTTTTTAATTTTATTAAAAAAATAATCAAATAATCTATTTAATAATAAAAAAATAAATATTTTCATATCCTTATATTACTAAAGCACAAGTCACCTGGCCAATTAAATTCTGCCACATAGTTTGTGCTTATATATTTTTAAAATTAAAAAAAAAAACGAAATCATGCAAAAAAATAACGGTTTCTCGACTCACGATCCTTTTTCATCATCCACGATCTTTCTTGATCTTTCTTTCCCATATTTCTATATTAAAGATACTCTCAATCGATCCGAAACATAACTCTGTGCAGTGATTTAGTGTGGAAGATTAGTGATTACTTAAGTTTCTCGGAGACATCTAAGGATTCTGATTTCATCTCAAATTTCTACCTTCACGCTGACGCAGATATAGGACAAGTGATTTGCAGTGTGTTACTGGAGATCTGATCCTTAAGAAGACATTTCAATTCATGTAAGAGAGAATGCAAATGCAGATCGCAATAGAATTGCAAGAAGGGAATTCTGTTAAAAGGTAAAAACGCTTCCATTAATTCACTTCCGAAAGGATCAAATTGTTTAAGTGTTTTGCTATTGTAGAATAGAATTTACAGCAGCGATGGATTGAAAACAGCAGAGAGGTTTCTACCTTTTCTCTATAATTTCAATGTTTTAAGTTTTTGGTAAGAAAAATTGATTTATGTATGGTTGTATTGTAGGGGCGAGAGGAACATGAAGTGTTGAAGATGACAAAACCGGTGCTGTTGTGAAAATGACTCCTCAAATCCTAAACCTTGAAAGATGACTAAATTTTAAGACAAAATTAACACAGATACTATATCAATTGTTTCAGTTTTCCCTGTAAATTGGTCCATAGTCTTTGCGATACACCACTTATTTTTTTATTTCAGATGTTTGAAATATAAATACACAGTGAAAAGGAATCATAGCTCTACTGCTTCTTCTCGATTACCAGAAAAAAATAGGTACTCAAACAATCAAATTCGTCAATGAAATTATTCCCAAAGGTAACTAATATAAAATAGCTCTATATAATAAGCATTCTCATCTTGGTTTTATAATTTTACCAGATTTTTTAAGGAATCGAGTGAGGAAGAAAGATGGCACGCAGAGAAGTTTATGGGGTACTAGGTTTTCTATTTTTCCTTCTTTGATTACCATTTCTTAATATGTAACTAAAGTTTGTTTTTTTACGTTAACAAAAATATTCCAGTGCATAGCACGGGGATAATACTAGTATATTATAATTCTAATTTTTTTATATCAAAAATAAAGTATTTTAGTCTGATGTTGGACCGGTTAGATAGAACATATTAATCTAATTTAATATATTTACTGTACAATTTCATTTATATAAATACTATTAAAATTATTTATAAAACCAATAATTATCTAGCATTTCTGCAATTGTATTATAAAATAAATATATCTTTAATTATTATTTACTATTGCATAACCAGCATATATATATTTGTAATTATAAATATCAGCTAACTTTTTGTAGTTGTATTTTTATATATATTATATTTACATATTTGAATAATTAATTATGGTTAATACCTACTCCGTATATGGTGCGGGTAATCACCTAGTATTTGCTATACGTAATCGTGAAATTATTGTAGCAGCATGATTGTACATTTCTTTAAATGACGAACAAACTAAACATTTTAAGTAATTAATATTTTTTTGTTGGTCAAAGTTTTTTCTAGGAAATGGTTTAGATCCTTGTAAATGTGCAACAAGTTTATTGTTCCATTAACCCTAAAACAGAGTCAAAACAACTAAGAACTGAAATGTGTTAGCACTGATGTGGCCATACCCTAATAAAGGAGGGTGGTGATGTTACTTGCACAAGAAGTTATAGCCCTCATGAATTTAGAGGAAATTACCTTAAAATAGAGAGAGGCAGTGCGTGAAGAAAGGCTTTAACAAAACAGCAAAGCCCTTTATATTTTCAATGCAAACTCTCTCTCACCTCTTGCGGGGAAACAAAAACTTAGGCTTCAAGAAAATCAAAATCACAAAGATCAATTCAACAAAACCTCTTTCTGCTCTCTCTCTCTTTTTCATCCCATATGTTGCTTCCTTGATTTTATCTCTTCCGAAAGAATGAATGGGAAGTAACATCTGAGGATCCATTGATTACCAGACATAAACATATATTCAAAGAAAAACCATTTATCTGTGTGTGTTTGTCTTAATGATGAAATAGCAGATTGAGAGCAAGAAAGAGGTATATAGGTTATAACCGCAATATGGAGATACAGAGGATGAGGCAGTTAATGTCCCTTTGGTCAAATTTGAAGAGTAGCCGCGTTTCTCTTACCGGTGGGAATCATACTGCCGCTAGGTTCTGCACTCGCTAGTCTCGCCTTTCTCTCGCCCGCTCTTCTCTTTTTTTACCCCTTTTCTCTTCTTTTCTACTTCCTTTTTGATTCAATATTAATTTAGCTTTCTCTTCTCTTCTCTCTTTCCTCTTCTTTAACTATCAACTACACTTTTTCGCACGCTCTCTTTGTCTCAGCTTTTAAGACGTAACAAAAGCAAAATATGGTGTTTGTTACTGTCCAAGACTTTCACTCCATGTGCCAAAAGCATTTTCACTACCTCTTGAAAAAGAGATACCGTTCGAGCTCATCTTTAGGCTCTGCGGAATCTTTCCTCAAGGCTTCTCGTTCTGATGTCTTGAGTCTCTTTATGAGATCAACGCTTTTGGCTTTGTTGTTTCTGTCATTTACTTGGTTAAGTCTGCTGAAGTATGGAACCAATGCAACCACTCCAGCTAACTCGTCGCTTGAGTCCGACCAACATGAGCTATTGCCTTTGCTACTGAATGATTTAGAGAAGGAAGGTCTCTTTAGGGTTGGAGATAAAGCACTCGTTCTTAATGATGAGGTCACTGTTTCTTCATACTCTCAAACAGTGATCGAAACTGAGATGCTTCTTGTATCTGCAAATGATGAGGAGACGCAGAGCATGGTCCCAAACGAGACCTTTGACCTTGCCTTTGCACATTCTCGTCATATTGACTCTGCTGAATTTCTAGACCGGGCTCTCAAAGTTGGTGGCATCCTCACCGTCCAACTGAACCTTCAAGATCTTCCTCCAAATTTCTTGAAACATCTGAACTACGAAATAGTCTACATGAAAAGCTCCCAGTACACGGTAATGGCGATGAGGAAAACAAGGGAAACAGAGAAAAAACAGAGCTTAGTTGCCACCGGGAGAAAGCTACTTGGTATTACTGAAGAAGAGGCCAAGAAAAAAGCTTTGAGCAAGCTAGAGGATGTTCTCCTTGAACCACCAAGAGCAGCTTCAAGGAAATCAAGAACGTACTTGAAACGGACACGGTACCTCCCGGACCTTATGGGAGACACTTTGGACCTTGCGAGCTACACGAGGCGTGTATTCATCGATGTGAGTAACGGAAAAGGAAGCAGCGGAACTGAATGGTTAGTTAAAAATTACCCAACGAGGAATCAGAAGTTTGAGATGTACAAGATTGAGACGGTGAACGATGAGATGAGCCTAGAATCTGAGAATATGGGGATGACGGAGTGGCTCAAAGAGAATGTCAAGGAGGAAGAATACGTTGTGATGAAGGCAGAGGCCGAAGTGGTGGAGGAGATGATGAGGAGCAAGTCGATAAAAATGGTGGATGAGCTTTTCTTGGAGTGTAAGCCAAAGGGTTTAGGCCTAAGGAAGATGCAGAGTAAGAATGGGAGGGCTTATTGGGAGTGTTTGGCTCTGTATGGCAAACTTAGAGATGAAGGTGTTGCTGTGCATCAATGGTGGGGTTGAAGTTAAAGAACATGGAGACAGAACTGAGAGAGAATATCCATCAAACTAGTCTCTTATTATACTATGTTTACGTTTTGTTGTTTTTTCTCTATGTTGACTCTTTAATTTTTTTAGTTGTGTCTCATCTTGTGATCATCAATATGTTGTTGTGATTGAAGTATTTTGTGGTGTTGTAAGTTTGGGATCTAATGAGCTTAACTAAAAATCTTTGATATTTCCCTATTGAAATTTGTTTTATTTTCGTACGTTGCATTCACGTTTGAGATCATTAAGTGATTTTGTACGAAAATTATTGTATAGATCTAGGTAATTAAACAACGATTTAACGGTCACTGGTATCACTCCTGGATGTTACCGTAAACTGTTGGCTGCAGAAAAATGTATCTTACAAAAATAGATTATTGACGTACAGGCCCGGCCTTGAGAGCAGGCGAGGGAGGCGACCGCCGCGGACATCCACTCTAAAAGGAACATATTTTTTGCGGCATCTATTATAAATAGACATATTTTTTATTTATGCCTATTTATAAACAAATTTTTGATCCATAATTTATAGCCCTAAACCCAACTCTCAAACCCTTTTAAAAACCTAAATCTAGTCCAATAAGGAAACCGTACCGTGGGAGCTTCGCCTCCCACACCCTCCAAGTAAATCCACGTCCATCTATGGTCCGTTACATTCCTCAGTTCTCCTCTAGCAGAGTATCTTTAGTTATCTTTATCACCGAAACAACAAATGGGTTAGCTTTATTATCAATTGAGACAGTTATAGTTGAAAAACTCGACTACGACAGTTTAATGAATGATTTTACATGGAAAAAATGCAAGAAGATCTATATTTCAGCAAAACTATATTTCAGCAAAAAAACTATATGTTTTATTGGATTTTTTTATTTTCTTATAAACCGTTTATGGAGTTTGATTGTTTTATGAAGTTTTTGTTTCATTTTTTTTATTATTTTAATTTTGAAAAAAAAAAATATAAAATGGCATATTTAAAAAAGTTAGACGCGGGCATCCAAATTGATTAATCCGGCACTGTTGACGTAACAAGAACAATAAAAAGGTTTTAGGTTTTTTAGGAATCCAAAATTTAATCAGGATTTAGTAATTCGCTAGAACCGTACAATCCATTTATGCCCGACCTAAGAGTCATTCACGGCCATAAGGGTCGTTGAATGAGTCGCAACCAGTACAAGATCAATTCGATCGATCCAGCACCAACCAAAGTAAGTTCTCTCGATCAGTGACTATTTTAAAACTAAAGAGTGTGGCTGATATGATTTTGGATAGCCTCAACTAAGAACTGGAACCAGAAGAAGAGCCACAAGGAGCTAAGGAGCTGAAGAGCAAATACAAAGATCAAGGAGTAGAACAAGAAGACCCTTTGCTCATTTCAAACGGTCTCATGACCCGAGCAAAGACTAAGAGGTTCAAAGAAGCTGTTGGAGAAATACTTAAGCATGGAACGCTTGTGGAACAGAAAGGAAAAGAGATGTGTACAACTACACTAGTTGTGATCCAAATCCGACAAAGCTAATGGGCTTGTGATCCAACTATGTACTCTTTTTCCCTATCTCAATTTTTGTCCCAATGGATTTTCTTGAGATAGTTTTTAATGAGGCATAGTTTGGATCACCTCACATCTAAGCCCATCAGCCGAGTCCAAGGAAAGAAGAAGAGGAGCGTGTGAAGAAAAGTTTGAATTCAAACTTGGCCAGTTTTCAAAGAACTAGTTCCTAGACACTTTAATGCTTTGTAGACTCGCCTGTTCTTCTCTTTATATTCGCTTGTAAACTCTCTTTTGAGACTATCTTATCTTTTAATCAAAATATTTTCTAAGTAAGATCAAACCCTCTTGTTGGTGTGTAATATCCTTCAAGGCCTTTTCGATTCATCTTTGGTGTGTAATATCCATAGTTGTTTCGGAATCCATTCATCAAGGGTCTTCCGCAACCCTTGGAGTCTTATCTAATCCCACAAACCTTGATACAACTCGTTTGTGTGCAAGGCTATCCCCTTTGATCCAGTTTAGTGAGTTTCGATTTCAGGGAGAATCATATTAAGTGGTATCAGAGCAAACATTCAAGCCACTGGATCGTCGAAAACATCAGGTTGTATCTTCCCCTTGATGTTTTTACGATTATTTCTGTGTTTTACAAGTTTGATCATCATCACCATTTAATCGAATCTGTTACTTGTGTATCCCTGCATCGAATCCACTTAGATTCATTAAGCGAGATCAATTATCTGAGATCTAGTTGCTATTTTACATCAAGTCGGGATAGATCTAAGTGACTTTTTAACTTCGAGTTTCGGATCTATGTTTTGCAAATCTGACTTTTTACATTCAAACTATCGATCATGATTTCTTTTGGAACATGAATAGTCACTTTTGTTTTGTGAAACGATCAAAGAGTTGTTGCTGGTGATTCCGTGTTATCCGTGTCTCAGGAACAATGAGTAAGCAACAAGAAGAGTCCAGTGCTAATGGTGTTAACAAGCTATACATGGAGGCAATGTTGGCCGAAGTTAAGAAGCTTGTGACCGTGAGCCTCGAGGAGTTTTGACAGGAGATTCAAGAGCAGACTAAACCAAAGGCTAGCAAAGATAAGAGAAGAGATCTAGGGAAAGAGCCTGAGGAAGTTTTGGAGCTGACTAGACCTCTCAGAGATTATGCGGCCACAGATTATTACGGTCCTCTTAGTAGTTCCTCAAGAGACAGCCGGAGAAGGCATAGGCGACACAAGGAAGATCGAGTTCAAGAAGGTTTTGGAGGAGTTAAACTCAGGATCCCTCTTTTCACGGCAAAAACGACCCTGACGCCTACTTAGAGTGGGAGAAGAAGATCGAATTGTTGTTTAACTACCAATAATTCACTGGTATTAACCGAGTAAAGATAGCCACTACCGAGTTCTACGACTATGCCCTTTGCTGGTGGGATCAGGTTGTTACAACTAGAAGGAGAAATCAGCAATTTCCGATTGACACTTGGGAGGAGATGAAATCTCTCATGAGGAAAAGGTTTGTGCCGAGCCACTATCATAGAGAGTTGCACCAAAGACTTAGACGTCTCACACAAGGCAACTGATCCGTTGAAGTTTACTATAAAGACATGGAGACCTTGATGCTACGAGCTGATATCAGAGAAGATGCTGAAGCCACTATGTCTCGATTCTTAGGAGGATTGAACAGAGAGATTCAAGACAAGCTTGAGATGCAGCAATATGAAGAATTAGAGGATATGTTGCGCAAAGCCATCCTCATAGAACAACAGCTCAAGAGGAGAAATACCAAAACCGCTTATGGAGTTGGAACAATGCCTACTAAACCGAGATATTCTAGGGAGGAGAAGCTGAGCTCAGTATCAAAAGAAGAGAAGCCAACTGGTGTTTCTAAAGAAGAACCCAAGTCATTCACTTTGGTATCAGATAACTGAAAACAAAGCTATGGGATCGACAAGAACCAGAGGTCAAGTGTTTCAAGTGTCTTGGGAGAGGACATTACGCAAATGAGTGTTCAAATAAGAAGATCATGATACTCCGGGATGATGGTGAATGGGAATCAACAGCTGAATCTGAAGCCAAGTCTCATTCTGATCATGAAGAGCTTCCGGCTCAAGGTTCCTTACTTGTATCAAGAAGGTCTCTAAGCGTGCAAGCCAAAGCTATGGAAGAGGAGCAGAGAGAGAATCTATTTCATAGCCGATGTCTTGTGCAAGGAAAAGTTTGTAGCCTCATCATAGATGAAGGTAGCTGCACCAATGTAGCAAGTCAAGAGATGGTTCAAAACCTCAACCTAGCCACCGAGAAGCACCCCGACCTTATAAGCTCAACTGGTTGAATAATGATGGGGAATTAAAGGTCAACAGCCGAGTCATGGTCCCTATTACCATTGGAGGTTATGAAGACGAAATACAGTGTGATGTGTTGCCCATGGACGCAGGACACATACTTCTAGGCAGGCCATGGCAATCGGATCGAAAAGTTATTCATGATGGGTTTACTAACAAGTATTCCTTTGTTTTTAAAGGCAGGAAGACTACCCTCATACCTTTGACACCTCAAGAAGTCTACCAGGATAAAATGCAGCTAAAGCAAAAGACAAAACCGCATACTAAAGCGTCTAACTTCTATTTGAAGGCTGGTGATGTCAAAAGATCTCTTAGTTCTAACCAATTGGTTCTTCTATTTGTGTTTAAGGAGGCTCTCACCAATATGACTAACCTCACATCGGTTTTTCCGAGTAAGATTCAAACTCTTTTGCAGGAATACAATGACGTCTTCCCTGAAGATAATCCTAAAGAGTTACCTCCTTTTAGAGGCATTGAACATCAGATTGATTTCATGCCTGGTGCTTCATTGCCTAATCACCCTGCTTATAGAACCAATCCGGTTGAGACAAAGGAGTTACAAAGACAAGTCGATGAACTAATGGAGAAAGGACACATAAGAGAAAGCATGAGTCCTTGTGCAGTATCGGTTCTGCTTGTGCCCAAGAAGGATGGAAGCTGGCGAATGTGTGTAGATTGCAGAGCCATCAACAATATCACTGTAAAGTATCGTCACCCTATCCCTAGACTCGATGATATGTTAGATGAGTTGCATGGTTCTAACATATTCTCTAAGATTGATCTTAAAAAGCGGATATCATCAGATTAGAATGAAAGAAGGAGATGAGTGGAAAACTACATTTAAGACTAAACATGGTTTGTATGAATGGCTTGTTATGCCATTTGGATTAACTAATGTACCTAGTACATTCATGAGATTGATGAATCATGTCCTTAGAGCATTCATAGGTGTCTTTGTAGTTGTCTATTTCGATGATATCCTCGTCTATAGCAAGAGTCTAGATGAGCATGTAATGCACTTGAGAGCTGTTCTTGATGAACTAAGAAAGGAAAAACTATATGCCAATCTAAAGAAATGCACCTTTAGAACAGATAACCTTGTCTTTTTAGGTTTTGTTGTTAGTGCAGATGGCGTTAAGGTGGATGAAGAGAAAATCAAGGCCATCAATGACTGGCCAACCCCTAAGACTGTCGGTGAAGTTAGGAGTTTTCATGGCCTGGCCAGATTCTATAGAAGATTCGTCAGAGATTTCAGCACTATAGCCGCCCCTCTTACAGAAGTTATTAAAAAAGATGTTGGATTTCAATGGGGAAAAGCTCAAGAAGCCGTGTTCAA